CCCCATGAGGTTGGGCCATGGCCACTTTTCTCCTGTGGAGCTGGCCATGTTCCACTCCCCCTACCCCCCTCCCTCCTCTCGGCCAGGCCACGCTCCCTTTTCTGCTGAGGGACTGAATTAAGCCCAGGCCTTGCCCACTTTTTCCCATTGGGGCTGGACCACACATATTTCCATAGGGAATTGGGTTTGGCCCAGGTCACGCCCCCTTTTCCCCCACAGGGTTGGGTCAAGGCCTCTTCCCCTCCCCGCAGGACTGGGTCATGTCCTCTCTTCCCCCTGTCTCCCCGTTCTCCCGGGGGGCTGGGTGAAGCCCCCTTCCCCTCCATGGGGGCCGTGCTTAGTCTTGGCTGCCTCCCACCCCCTTCCATGTGGCCAGACACTGGATACGAATCACCATCTGGCCTGAGGTTAGACCTGGCATTCACTGCCTGTCTGACCTGTGCAGGGGAAAAGGTTGACCACCACTAGTCTAAAATGTCAGTTTGAACCTGACAAAAAGTAATTTTCAAGTTAACTTCCAAGTGCTCTCTTTGTAAGGGTATCCTCTGACTTAAATTTTAATGATATAAAAACTAACAAAGCATTGTTTTTTAATGGTGGTGCTCTCCATTATATCTGTCTAGTCTCACCTCTCTTCCTGCCCCCACTTCCTTTATACTTTAGAATTGCATCTTCAGTTTTGTTTCTGTTGCTAGAAATAAACACCCATTTACAAAGCTTGAGGAAAAAGTGCACATTATCGTCCTTCTTACTAACACTTCTTACTATAGTTTATGATGCTTGAAAATAATAACATTACTGGTTTGCTTGAAAATAATAACATTACTGGTTTCCAAGAATGAAACTAGCTAGCATGAGCTGCTCTCCAAACGCACTTATTAAACAAAAGGAAATCTATTAATTAATGTTGTGTTCTGGTAGTCTTTAAGAGATTACTTCTATAATTTGCATAAACCCTTTCTCTTTTGTGCTTTTGATGTTCTAGGATGTTTAGTATCTTTAAAGCTTTGATTCTGTATTTGAATCTATGCAGAGTGTTGATGGTCCCTGCCCAGCGTTCTTGAGAATTAACAGGATTCTATGGGTGTGCAGATTGGGGTTTCAGTCTTATTGCTCTTTCACTCTGAAGTTGCAGTCTTGTCATGGAATTGTCATTATCTTGTGCTGACTTTGTTGTTCTGTTCAGTTTATATACTTTTTTTTTTTTTTACTGTTTCTACATCCAAATTTCATAGGATGTAACTTGAAAAGAAGCTTCAGCGTGAAACTTGAACTGACAGCAGCTTGGGTTGTACAGTTAGCTTGGAGGACTCTCAATATGCAAGATTTTTCTTGGAAAAATAGTTGTTTAATTGCAAAAGAAATAATTATATTTTTTCACTATTCTCCTTGGATAGTGAGCAACTGCCTAATTAATTTTCTTTATGTTTAGTCTCTACTACTTTTTCAAATCTTGAGAAATAGAGAGAGTAGTCCTCAAATTCTGCAGTAAAATTTTCACTTACTCACTTTAATCTCTAGTGTCAGCTCCTGACCCTAATACAAAATTAATGGCATTGGTGCCCACATTTAGAAGATAACTTCTAAAGTAAATCTTGCTGGTTCTGATGAAAATGCTAGTAACACCAGATATTCCTTATGGTATTTCTTTTCCTTTAACAGTGCAAGAAAATCTGCACATAGTAAATGAAGGTACTTTTTAAACGGGATATCCAGTCTAATGAACTGTAATTCATAGGTTCTCTCCTTTAATTGGAAAATCTCTTGTGGATAGCCGCATATGCTGTTGTTCACTTGGTGTGAAATACAAAGCAATCAACCTTACTTTGCTACAGTGTTTTACCATCCATGGTGAGACAGAATAAGGTCTGTAGGAATTAAGCAGAATCTAGACACAGCTGTTCATTTAATTTTCAGTTGTTGGAGATATGATTCCTAAGCATTAGCTAATGTATTGAATTCATGGAAAGACCCAGTTCATTGTGGGAGTGGTGGAGTTAACTGGCTTAGTTTGAAACCACCTTTTTTGGGGTCATGACTGGCACTGGAGGAGCAGGAGGCTCCACACACTGCCTAGTTGGCTTATCTGTAAGCCATGAGTAACCACAGTTGGCCAGGAAGGGTGCTTCAGCATCTTTTGTAAATATTGACAGCACTTCCTCCTCCTCTTGCTTCACCCCTTATTCACAACATTGAGGATTTGGCAGTGGGAGAGACTTGGATTACCTGTCTGCCTCCCCAGATGGAGTTGCATGCAAGTAATATATATATGTATGCAACTTCCTCTATGGCCAGAAATGCTCCTTAGTCCCAAGACCCAGTCTCTTCTAGAACATCCTAATTAGCAGAACTACGCTGTATTTATTCTACCAAATACTGCATATCTTCAATTGGTGTGAGGAAAGACTGGGTCAAGGAGACATTTATTATACAGATAAAGAAGCCCATTAATGTAAAAGATTATATGCTTCTCTAGTATTTCACTGAATTCTGCTTACAAATGTGGCCATGTCTTCCAGCCCCTATTTGTTTGTTTCTAGAGCCCCGCTTTCTGGATGGGCTTTCACACATTTTCAATAATGGCGGTGCTAAAATCAGTGTCACTTCAGGTACCCCAGACCTATTAAAACATTCTGTAAATGTCTGTTGGGAAAATGTTTATATTAATGAAAAAGTTTAAATTTAATCTTTTGTCCTCTACATATGTACTCCTTGAATGAATATTGCTTTGTTTGATCCCCTAGTCCATGACAGAGTAGAATGTTGCTTATTCACACCATCATTCCAGAAAATTGATTTATTTCCCACAAATCTATGCTGCTGCTTGAGCAGCCACAGACAATCCTGGTGCTGCTCAAAGAGCCAGATCAGCAGGGTCCCAGCAGGGCTCCCTGAGAGGGAACTGCTGGACATGCTGTCAGGGACCTAGCACACTCAGCACAAGTCGGAGTTGGAGCACGAAGGTCGGGGGATTTTTAACTGATGTTTTGGATAATCACCAGGCTACTGCACTGAATACTCTTAAAATATTTAAATAAAATAACATTAAAATAAGCATTAACTTCTAAAAAATAAATAAATAAATAAATAAATAAAAGAATTAATAATTCAAGTAATGCTCATATGAATCACTTGAGGCTATGAGTGCTTAGAGTTCACTGCGACATGAATCCTTGAGGCCGCCTGTGCTGGTGGGCACGTGACAGCTCAGGGGTTGGGGATGTGTGATCTCAAACTTGTCTTCTTCTGTTTCTCTGTTCTCAGATCCTTCTGATGATGAATGGGAAGAGCTTTCCAGCAGCGATGAAAGTGATCTGTTTATGGAGAATTCCTACGATGAGGGCAGTGGGCTGCTGATGTCTCCCCTCTGCCTTTCTGCTGAAGTTCACGCCGCACTTCTGAACTACCTTGTTCCCAAAAAGGTAGAACCTCCAAAATTTAAGCCATTCCTCATGCTTGATTCAGACCTTAGATTAGACCAAGAAATTTTTCCAGTTCTTATGAACTGCAGGAAGATACATTTTTAATCAACTTTTAGCATTTCTTTTTAAAACTAGGTTTACCATATGTCTGAGTTTTCCTGGACCTGTCCTCTCTTTGGGATCTCTGTCCAGGCAGTTCTTTGAAATATGAACAAATGTCTGGAGTTTTGCTGGTAGAACTGCATTTCCAGCTTGCCCTAGCAAGTATGTGTGTTTCCCAGGGATCCGGGTTTTCCATTTGCTGTGGAAAAATGTGGATTTTCCTCTTTAAAGGAGGAAACTGCAGGTTTCCCCTTGCAGACTGGCAGCCTTCCAGCAAGGAGCTGCTTGGGGCACTTGGAGGCCCGGGTGCCATGTGAGCACACATGCACATGGCCGGCATACAGCCAGGCAGGGTGGCGGGAAAAGCCGTGGCATGTGGATGCAGCTAAGTCTATGGGGAGAGGGGGTTGGAGGGCCAGAGCTTGGCTACTGGTGGTGGAGGCTATGGCAGGGGTGTGTGGAGGGGATGGGTGTGAGGCAGGGTAGATGCCTGCTGGCGCTGGGGGAAGGTGTCCAGGTCCTGGAGTTGTGGCAGGGCTCGAGGGGGAGACATCTGTCCTCCAGCAGGGGAAGGGGGTGGGGGGGCCTTTGGAGGGCCGCACCCAGAGAGTGGTGATGGACGGGTCATTTTCGACCTGGAGGGATGTGGGCAGTGGGGTTCCGCAGGGCT